ATTTATGCAAGTGGGTCCCACCCCCATGTGTTTTATTTATGCAAGTGGGTCCCACCCCCATGTGTTTTATTTATGCAAGTGGGTCCCACCCCCATGTGTTTTATTTATGCAAGTGGGTCCCACCCCCATGTGTTTTATTTATGCAAGTGGGTCCCACCCCCATGTGTTTTATTTATGCAAGTGGGTCCCACCCCCATGTGTTTTATTTATGCAAGTGGGTCCCACCCCCATGTGTTTTATTTATGCAAGTGGGTCCCACCCCCATGTGTTTTATTTATGCAAGTGGGTCCCACCCCCATGTGTTTTATTTATGCAAGTGGGTCCCACCCCCATGTGAGGGGGGGTGTATACCCTTGTGTACATCTTGTGATATACAAGTAGATATTTCCTTAATTCAAACTTCAAACTTGTATTTTTTGGGGGCACAATTGAGAATTTAAGCAGCATTGTGGCTTAGTTAAAGCAGAATCAATTGCACAACAAGCACTAAAAGGCATCGGATTAACACATGAATCAAGAATCTTTTCCAACCCAAAGAGAATGTGATAATTTATTTCTTTATTTCATTGCTTTTAATTTATTTTCTCGAAGGTTTTTTAATCCTTATATAGTCATAGGACTTTATAAGGTTTATCACACTATTTAAACTCTTTTAACACTAATAATTATTTTCTTGGTTGTTTTTGATAAATTAATAAAATCGGTTTAAGTTTCTTCTCATTGATCATTTCTCGATTGATTTTGCGTTCTTATTTCTCACCCTACCCAACTGCATCATTATGTATGAGCGGTTAAAATTAATATTTTACTGTGACTAAGCCCCATGTTTGGTAGGTGGGATTAAAATTAATTTTTTAATAAGTTTTGATAAAAGTTGATGAAATATGTGGTTGAAAAGTTTCTAATCCCATAAAATGTGTGACTAAAATTAATTGTTGACTTTGATTTAAATTAAAATCTGAATTTTTATTTATACCAAATATAGGCTAAATGCGTAAATCAGTTATAAATTTTTATGGGAAAGGAGCATTAATCTTTTTTTTTTTTTTTGGGAAAATTGATGTTAGGGCCTGGACTTTTTCTGTAACTAGTGTCAAATTAATTTAAAAGTAGACAGACCATTTAAAAATTCAACGGTCCAAATTGTAATTTTCAGCAGCACCAGACAGGCCCATAAATTTGTATGGAAAAGGAGGATTAATCTTTTTTTTTTCTTTTCTTTTTCTTTCCACAATATAATTGCAAGTCAATAAGTGATCACCCTAACAAATTTGTGGACAAAAAAGAGAAATTAAAAACTTGAGAAAGGACACAAGACTTGATCTAAGAACATGTTCGAAATTCATAAATGGTATGAAATTTGAACAATCTAAAACTTCAATAAAGAAGACTAATTAAAAACGTAAATCTAGCCCAAACGGCAAAAAAAAACAAAAAAAAAGGACAAAACTGGCAAATATATCGAATGTTGACTTGTAATAAAAAAAAATAAGAAAAAATTATATAAGAATATTAATTCTTTATCCCACTCTATTCACATATTAGTTTTTGTTAATTGATTTTATAGTAATGATCACATAACTAGTTCGTACCATTTGGACTGTTAACACAATTAAACAAGGAAATGATTATGTGGATGTTTGGTGAAGCTTTTAAACTGATCAAATAGAGGACACATTTCTTAGAACCCGCTATTTAATACTCACTATCTGTACAATTAGTAGGATACACAACTTATAGGCATTTGAAGACTAAGATTTGCCAAACATGCACTACACGAGCCTTCAACAAGTTGTAAATCTTCTTGAGATTGCAAATTAGTCTCTTACCATTATACAAAAACTTGGAACTGCATGCAAACTGATGTTCCTACCACAGTGCAACAAGAAGAAAGCATAACGATATACATACACGAACATCGATTCATAAACACGATATTGGTCAACTAAACGGGCTCTGAAAGCATCCAACTCCTAATCAACCTAGTCAAATCCGTAAGGGAAACAAGCCCAACAAGCAAACCTTGTTCGTCGACCACCCATACGCGATGCACATGATTGTTGATAGCCTTGTCAACCACCTCCCCTAGGGTCGATTCCGGGTAGCAAGTTATAAGATCCTTAGTTGAGGTTCTCAAGCCAGAAATTTCATGCAGTGGAGTGCCTGAACATTTTTCAATGAATTCTACCACGCTTAAGTGCATGCAAGACTTGAGTTGAGATAGAGGCCATCCACGAAGATCTGTTGCAGAAAAAGTTCCCACAAGCTTTTCATCCTTTCCCTGAAATCATGCACAAAAAATAGAGAGCACGATATGAAAGGGGATCTCATATTAACAGACAAATTCCTCATCGATTAAATATAAAAATATTAATCAACATATAAAGATTCAAAGCCCTTCAATTGAGGTTATGGCATCAAAGCCTAGGACGCTGTGTGTCTGAAAGCTCAAATATAATATTAGGTGAGCGGCCATAGTATGATCGTTTGGGGGACCCTGCCCCGTTCAAATCAATAAAAAAAACAAGAGCACCTTTAAGGGAATGGAATGTCGACCACAGGGTGAGAGAATCTTATAATACGAGGGCGAGTTACAGGCGAAGTCATTAAACTCGGTCATTTTGATCAACATGGCTGCAACTAGACTGTCATGTGTTTAAACTGACTACGACCAAGGCCACTTCAACTAAAATAAGGGCGACTACTATTCAAACCCAAAGAAGTACCAGACCTCACTTACAAAGTAGTTGGAGCCCACTACCAACCAATATTAATTAATATCAAAATGTTAACCACCCCTCTTAACAAGATCGACTTTTTAAGATATAGAATCTTAAATGAAGTCCCGAGTATTAGTATTCATGACCAAATTAAGAACGAAGAGAACTCACATACATTTATAAGCTGACTTGGATCTTCTCCGGGGTCATTTGAAGACTGAACGATTGGCACAGCATTAAGTGAAGCAGTGTTCATGCACTTGATAGCATCGATTACTTTGGTTTTATCGGTAACCCCGAAAACTATATCACTCACTGCTCCAATTTCTTTAACCTTTCGAGACAAAATACCTTTAAGCTCATTCTCATATCCTTTCAAGAACTTGATAACATCCATTTGCGTGAGCATTCGGTAGCTTGAGGCCGATTCCACTAGCTCAACTCCTGCTACATTTTCCATATGGCTATCAGCTGGAACTAAAGCCCAGTGTATTCCTTTGCTGAGCACTTCCATGCAGTCAAGAATGCTGCATAGACAATGGAAAATTGACCTCCAGTTTTTTCAGATGATCTTCGTTTTAAAATTTTGTCAATCTTTTGGAGTCAATAGGAACTTGCTGTTAACAAATTGTCAACTATTTTCTGTCTACTAATTATAAATTGGTAGTTAAGGACCTATATAATGACTGTTCTTCTATAGCTTTATTTGAAAAGGTACTGTAAGCAAATCGCTTGCTTCTGCTACTAAAGACTATACCATTCTTTAGATAATTAATACTCCCTCTATTCTGTTACTTTCTTTATTTTCTTGTCACACGTATATAGTTCTGTTTCTTTATTGAAAAAGTATTTATTTATTCATTTACTAATACACCATTATTTAATTCCTAGTTATAACTAATCCCTCCCACTTAATTTTTAAATTGTTCATATTTTAATTTACCTTTATAGAATTATCCAAATAGGTACACACATTTCCTACTTCTCCCTGAAAACATGGACAAAAACATCATTATTTGCTACTAGTTGTTGATAATTAAATAAGGGTAAATTAGGAATTTTCTTTTTCTTTTTTTGCAAAAATTGCTTTTTCAATAACATTAAGAGTATGTCTGGGAGCATTGAAAATTAGCAGAATTGTGATTTTTTGACCGTTTATTTTCAAATGGTGGGGCCCCCTATGACTCAACAAAGTCAAAAATTGTTGGCATTTCACTGTAGCAACGGTACAAAAAGCGATTTTAATTCCGCCCAGACACACCCTAAATAAAATTTCTTAGTATGTGTGAAAAGTAAAATCAGTCTATATTTAGCCCATATTTGCTTCGGATTAAAAATTGATAAAAATCAAAGTCATAAGCAATAATTAATTTCAATGGCGATTCAACTTTTCATCCAAAAGTTTAATCAATTTTTATCGAAAACTACTAAAAATCTGATTTTCAGCAAAAGGTTAAATTCTTTCGAGAGATCCGAAAAGTTACATTAAAAGTGATCGAACTCGCAGGAAATTAAGCTAGGAATTCTATTTTACTAGGCACACAAAACATAGTGCATCCATATCTATCTTCTAGTCTTAATTACGACATAAAATTCTTTTGATTAGCCTACTAAGAACAAAGATCTTGTAGTAATAACGAGCGTATTGGAAATTAAGAAAATGGGCAGAGATTCAATTTGTGGTGGTTGATTTAAACCAGTTGAAAAGAACTTGATTTTATGGTTTGGATCATAAGCTGTTGAGGGTCCACAAGCTGAGGCTTTCGAAGCACCGCCCTATAATAGATGACACCGGAACTTTCATCTTCTGGTCCAGATCATCACCGCCGCTGCTCTCTGTCTCAACATAATTCCCGGCAATCTGGGCCAAAATATCCAGCATAGTCACCATCCCAATATAGTGTTTCGTCACTTCCCCGGTGTGCTTATCAGCCACCAGGATCATTGAACCACCAGCTCCTATCCAGTGTCCCGGTGGCGCCGCCACTGCCACGGCGGTGATCCTGTTAGCAATTAAAGCATTCGTGGTGTCAGCTAGTGAAGCTGTGTATGGAACCTCCACCAGCCTTCTCTTGTCAGTGATTAAATCACTAACTTTCTTGTTCCTCAGCCTGTGGGGCTGATGAATACTACTACCATGTATTTGTTCTACTACTTTTGTTGCCTGCATCTGCATTTTTCGGTGGGTTTTTCTTCGAAGTCTCGAGAAGGAAGAAGAAAGATTAAAGTATGCACTGATATATACACATATATTTGTATTATATATGTGTAAATTTAATTTTTGTCGATGAACTTTTAGTGAAATCTCAATTAGGTCACTCGACTTTAATTTATTGTAATCTGATTACCATAAACTTAAGAGTGCTTCATGTTTCTAAATCGACACTCAATCTTGCTTGAATCATTCCAACAATTGCCGTGGAGTACTTCAGTATAGGATCATGTAACTTGCTTGAATCATTCCAACAATTGACGTGGAGTACTTCAGTATAGGATCATGTAGAGCAATTGGGAGTCTTGTTACACTTGAGACTAACTTCAATTGGGAGTGTGGTGTGAAAATCTTTGAAGGAGATTGTATCAAATATGTAAAGGTGAATCTATATCTTCTTATCATCTTTGTATCAATCGTTTTATCAATTTTTATTTTCTGGTCAATGTACTTTAAATAGTAGTCAATTAATTATCCTCACCGTTGAAATTAACGTCATCTCAATCCTCTATTAGCCCTCCTTTTTAAGTAAATATTCTACTTAATCATGTCATGGCAGCAATATTTTTAAATCTGATTAATGGAGCTCTCGTTATGCTCTCCGTTGAATGAACTAATTACTGTCAATTTTTAAAAATGAATTATTTTATACTTATACAATCGTGAAATGACAAAGTTGTAGGTTTACCTGAAAATTTGAGATGCATCGAATCATTATTAATATCTAACATTCTCTTAAGATTGAGTTAGATTTAGTATTGGTGGCTAACATTAAAAGTAAATTGTTGAATGACCTAAATGAATTTCAATAAAAGTTAAATTGACTAAAAATGAAATCAACCCTATGTATGAGACAAGACTTTTTGTACGTGTCTATGGTTCAAGGTACTCTTAGCCACGTGGTGCCATAGAATTTACTGGAATATTACTCGACTAGACTGTAACAAGTTCGAGTCTATCTATTTCTATTTAAAGATAGACATGTGGTGACGTGGGCCAGATTCAAATTAAATCGGTTCATTGATCACGACGGTTGACATACAAAAAATAAGGTCTAATTGAATGAGGCCAAATAGTAAAATGAGTTCCAATTATTAAGTCGGTCCAATTATGTGGTTCAAGAAATGGAGCCCGTTAGGGAAATTGAGGATTTGACTCAAATAAGACCATTGTAAAATATAAGGACAGCTCACGAGCAGAGGACTGTCATTGCCCAAACTTGCAGAACGCCCAAGATTTGAGCGATGAAGTATCCCAATATCGCTCAGAGCGACTGTCTCACTCTATCCCAAGCCTTTGAACGCCCAAGGTCGGATGAATATAGCGTTTTGTTCAGTTATTGAAGCAGTTATTGAGCAACCTTATCACGTCCCACGATCCAAAAATCTCGGTTACAAGCGGTTAAACAACAAGAGCGCTAATAACAATTGCTAAGGCAGTTTCTTGACAAGTCAGTCATTACGAAAAAAGTGGGTAGTTATAGAGTAGTTTCCAAACAGTTTTTCAAGAGGAAATCACCAAAGGAGTATAAAAAGAAAAAGAAGACATAGAAGAATGGACCTCAAATCAAACACTCTCAACATAGAATATGTAATTTCAATTCATTTACTTTTTATTTGCAAATTTTCAATTTACTTCGTGTGCTTGTGCCTCTTGAAGACGTTTTGCTTCTTTTCAACTGTAATATTGATAAGTGTGTTTTTACATACTTATTTTACTGTCAAAATATGAGCAATCGTTGATTAAAATGTTGGAATATAGCTTAATTCTATGCAATTTATGTTTTGCAGGACAAAGTGATGAATGTAGCGAAATTGAGGTGAATCAAGCGAAAAAGGACCAAACTTGCTTGAATCATTCCAACAATTGTCGTGGAGTACTTCAGTATAGGATCATGTAGAGCAATTGGGAGTCTTGTTACACTTGAGACTAACTTCAATTGGGAGTGTGGTGTGAAAATCTTTGAAGGAGATCGTATCAAATATGTAAAGGTGAATCTATATCTTCTTATCATTTTTGTATCAATCGTTTTATCAATTTTTATTTCTGACCAAGGAACTTTAAATAGTGGTCAATTAATTATCCTCATTATTGAACTTAACGTCATCTCAATCCTATTAGCCCCCCTTTCTAAGTAAATATTCTACTTAATCATGTCATGATAGCAAAATCTTGAATTTGATAAATGGAGCTATCGTTATGCTTAATGAACTAATTACTGTCAATTTTTAAAAACATCTTATTTTATACTTATACAATCATGAAATGACAAAGTTGTAGGTTAACCTGAAAACTTGAAATGCATCGAATCATTATTAAGAGCATGTCTGGGAGTAATTATTGAACCCAAAAATGGATTTTTGTACCGTTACAGAGGAAGACTAGCAGCCATTGTTGACTGGTTGTGTCACAGGTGGGGCTTAGAATTTGAAAACAACGGTCATTTTCTTGATTTAAATCTGTTAAAAATTTATACCAGACATAGCCTAATTTCTAACATTCACTTAAGATTGAGTTAGATTTAGTATCGGCGGCTAACATTAAAAGTAAATTGTTGAATGACCTAAATGAATTTCAATAAAAGTTAAGTGACTAAAAATGAAATTAACCCTATATATGAGAAAAGACTTTTTGTACGTGTCTATGATTGAAGGTACTCTTAGCCACGTGGTGCCATAGAATTTACTGGAATATTACTCGACTAGACTGTAACATGTTCGAGTCTATCTATTTTTCCTTACAGATAGACATGTGGTGACGTGGGCGAGATTCAAATTTAAAATCGGTTCATTGATCGCTTTGAAAATAAAATTAAAAATTAGTTACTAATTAAAAACCGCGGTAGAAGGTTTTGTGTTGTTACGCCTCTTCAACGAGATTTCGAGTACTATCACGTGGCAGTTTCATAAGAAGCGAATTTGGACCCGCACCCTGTCATTCCGCACCAAGTGGCAGTTTGGTCAAACCCCTACGAAGCCGAACCCATTCACTGAAGCCAACCTCGTGAAGAGAACCGAATCCCAATGGAAGAGGTGACGTTTCTAGGAGATTTGCATGAGATCTTCTATGAAATTTTCAATGAATGATTGATGTAACAACTCACTGTTACCGCCTCCTCATCCAACCAATAAGTCAAGTCTAAGTACCTTGTCAAATTTTGATCAACAAAATGGTATTAACATTTAATGCTCATAATTGACTGATTCCCATGATTGAAGCCTCAGTCGTCTGGATGAAACCACGTATATTCTCATCCAATAGTTATTATCCACCATCTTCTACTATATAAGCTTACACAATATGTCATTGCAATAGTAATCTAAGTTTAGACCTTTGAACTATGACTATGCTCTTCGATATATATTCCCCAAATCCGAACCCCTTTTTATAAAAGAGGCTCGTGTCTAAAGTACTTCCTACACTCAAAACACATATACTGTCAATTAATTTAATCATCGGAGTGCGCGCGACCAACTCCACCACCACCGAAAAAGAATATGTATGGCTAACGGTTTATCCTGGTGTACAGGAACTTGCTTACGTGGATACGGAGACCTTGGAATTTGTTGGTCATGTTGGAGGTACAAATTCTAACGAGGCTTCACGTGGCAGTATAATGCAACACGCCAAAAGGACCACTTCAAATAACGTAATATAGCTCCATTTAAGCTTAAAAGTCCACACATTATATGAATATATATACCTAGACTTCGAAGACTATTGTTATGCATATTCCAGCGAGACTTCAAGTACTACCACGTGGCAATTTCACGGTAAGTGGACCTGTGCCCGCACTCAATGACATTCCATTCAAGTGGCAGTTTGGTCGAACCATTACGATGCCAAACCTATTCGCTGAAGCTGACACCCATGAAGAGAACCAAATCCCCATGGACAAGGCGAGGTTGCTAGAAGATCAGCAGTAGCTCTTTTATGAAATCTTCAATGAATGATTGATGTGACAATTCACTACTACCGTCGCCCCCATTGAGCCAATTATGTCAAGTTTAAGTATCTTGCCAATTTTTTGGCAACAAAATGGTATTAGCATTTAATGGTCATATTGATTGATACTCATGACAAAATGCCTCAGCCGTCTGAATGAAGCCACGTATATTCTAATCCAACGATTATTATCCACTATCTACTACTATATAATCTCTCACAATGTGTCATTCCAATGGTAATGCGAGTTTAGACCTTTGAACTATGACTTTGCACTTCAATATATTCCCCAAAGCTGAACCTTTTTTAATAGAAGAGGCTCGATTTTAAAGTATCTTCTTTAAAACACATATACTGTCAACTAACTTAATCGATGGAGTACTCACGGCCAACTTCACCACCACCAAAGGAGGCAACGTATGGCTAACGATTTGTCTAAGCATACAGGAATTACCTTACGTAGACGCGGGAGGCCTTGAGATTTGTTGGCCACGTTGGAGGTAAAAAATTTGAGGTCAACAGGTTCTTATAGTCCTTTTTTAAAAATTTAATTGTCATCCCTCTATAAAAGAAGGTTCTAATTTTAAAGATTACACTCTTACTACTTACACTTGACCTTAAGTCTTTCTTGTGCATAAAGATAATTCAAATTCAAATATACTAGTTTTTCAAATGTCAATAACGAGCAAGAGGTTAAAAGTCTTTTTGTTACTCGCAGCCTTTTAATCGTGTTAGGTTGAAGTAAGTCTTGACAAGTTTCATGTCCAAAAATCTAAATCGCATTGCAATTGGGGTTGTGTTGACGGGTGTTAATAGTTGGTTGAGTACGTCACCCAAAATCATGGAAGTAGAATAATTCATGTGTGCTTGATGAATGTTCGAATGTGCTCTAGCATATTTTTTAGACCTTGTGTACTCGATGAACGTTAAGAAGGTGTTCGAGTGCCCGTCTAGGTAGGAGGAACCCTATTTTTTTATTTCAACTTCTAAACACTCCTAAACCACCTACAACTATAAAA